GTCACCCCCAGTGTCTGCAGTGCCCACTGCCATGGTGCTGAGACGCGTGGATACCACGCTGCTGGCATCAGAGCTGGCTGCATCTCAACACCTTCTGGGTGAGAAGAGGATGGAAACCGGGGGCAGAGCAGAGGCTGCTGCTGGTTCTCACAGGAGGATGTTTTGGTTCTGCAAAGACAACCGTGGGATGATGTTTAGACTATTGCCTTGGGAGAGAAGGGAGCTGCAAATGTCTTCAGGACACTAACAGAGATTAACTGGTGGGGGGAACCCCACTCTCCCAGTAGGACACTGAGTTTCTTCCCCAAGCTGCAGACTGGCCAGGCTTTCCCCAGGCTGCTTGCCCTTTGGGAACTGGCAGAGCAACACTGGTCAGGGGTGCATAGCCCTCTCCTGCCAGAAGACCCTTGGGAAGAGCTGGTCCTGAGCTACAGCCTCATGGCCCTGATTACCTGCAGGTAGCTCCCCCAGGAGACTGCTGTGCCCCCATCCCCAGCACTTTCCTGGGATCTGGGGCAGGACAGGGATCTAGTGGAAAACGAGCAACTGTATTTTTGCTAAATACGTTTTCTGAGCCATTTGTGGCTCACTCTTACTGCAAGAGCAAAGGCTTGCTAAAGACAGCTTGTTTTACAAAGCATTTTCACAAGTAGCTTAGCTGTTAATGTCACTGTTACCTGAGCAGATTTAATTACGCTGCTTCTTGCTCTCAGTTTAGCATGACATGCTGAGAATGGAAATCACATACCTTTTTGCCAGGAAAAAAAATGCCATGTTCTGGAGCAATTTGGCATGTTTCCTCCAGGGATATGTTCACATATTGTTCTGAGCTTCTTTTGCTGCCAAGGTTTGCTGTGGCATTTATTAAAAAACGCCTTCAATACCATTCACCTTTTATCATCACCATGGGGTTAGCTGAAATGATGTGTCCCTCCTTCTGACCAATATCACGTTATTATGCTGTGTAGAGTGCAGATGTGCTCTCAGATGGAACAGGAGGGTTTGGAATTAAATCCATGCTCTTTCAGTGAAGGCATGCATAGCCTAAAGTCTCATTTTCTCCAAAGGGTGTACACTCTCATCTACCAATCTCTTTGTAGAGGGGGTCTGAAAAAAGAAGCATTTCCCAGCTTTTTGTTAGTCCTAATGAATGCCTTCATACTGATCCTCTTTGTCTCTCTTGCTCCTGGTGTCCTGGCATACACATGCATCTTTTTTTTGTTTTAAGGGATAAAAGAAGGGAGTGGAAGTGATTGAAGGATGGATTGCGGGTGATGTGACATACTCAAGCCCCTAGAAGATCAGTCTGGATTGAGTCACACTCAGATTTGATTTACTCAATTCAGCACCATTTTGCAGAAAAAAATTTAAAAATCAGTATCCAGCTTGTGAGTCAGCTCTGTGCACTGAACTGGGGGGCTAGCTATGGAGAAGCTTCATAAATCCCAAGAAGTGGCATGTCGACAGGAATGCTGACAAATCCATAGCTGCACTGGCATTACCAGCTATGACCACAGTGCTCCATGCACCAGCACCTCTGCCCTGATTCTTCTCTTGCTGTGATCAAAGCACTGGGGTTTCAAAGTGAAATATCTTAGACCAAGCAGTCTTTGAATACATTAATTTTAAACCACCCTAAGAATTCTGCCAGCTGCTGTCTGGCCTGCCCACATCATAGTTAGATCACAAGCCACAGTAATACTGATTTATAGACATTGATCTCTTTACCTCGTTACTGGGATTTACAGCAAATCTGTGCATTATTAACTCTTTAAGGTCAGACAACTGTATTTTTCAGTTTAAACAAATCAATTTCTGCAGCTGGACAGTCAGGGGAGACTGTTGCCACCAGAGGATTCATTTACTAGCCCAGGGTGAGATACTTTCAGAAGGATATTTAAAGTCAAAAAGGTGTCCCAGCAGGTGAACAGCTGGTCATCACAGAGCCAGCCCATCACTCTGGTTTCTCCCATTCTGTCCATCAGCCCTTGCACTGCTGACAGTGCATTGCACCAGTGGCTGCACTGACCCTGCCAGAGCATGCTGAGGTGGGATGGCACCTGCTGAAGCCTGAGCTCAAATCCAGACTAAGGCCTCTTTTCCTCTTGACACTTGCAGATGGCTTTTCTTCAGTGCCCCATCAACTTGGGGTAAATCAATCTCAGAGTACCAGGGCCACTTCCTACCCATCCTTCCCTCCATAATCCAGTATTATCAGCACAGGACAGATCATGGTCACAGAGAGCAAGAAGAAAAATCTGAGGGTGGTTCAGAAAGGTTTTTTGAGCCTGCTTACATTTGGGCATCTCTCAGAAGACAAGCTGTGGCTTCCCCTGCAGAGCAAACTGAGCCTCAAGGCAGCAGAGCACTGAGCTCACATGGCTCAGCTGGCCACGGGCTGCAAACCTCTCCCTGCTGCAGCACAGCAGCAACACCAGCAGAGCCTCTGGTTGTTTGTCTAACCTGCTTTCAAAGATTTCCAGTGACACAAACTCCACCACCTTTCCAGGCAACCTGTCCCTGCACCTCTCTGCTCTCAGTGTTTACTAGAAAGGTTTTCCTGCCGTTACCCTGAATCCTTTCAGCTATAATTTAAGTCCCTTATCTCCCCATGAACACACAGAACAAATTACTTCCCTCCTCTTCGCAGCAGCCTCTTATGTACTTGAAAGCTGCTCTTTCTCCTTGTCTTTAGGCTAATGCCAGTGCTTTTGCTGTTTACCCTGGTCATGCTTCTGACATCCAGGAGTGTTGGTGCTCCAGCAGCTACTCTGCTGACTAACAACCATTAAATTTTGCTAGTGAATCAGGTGGTGAAGATACTTGATAGAGGTGAAATCTTCCTCACACCAGCCAGAAAACTGCAGCAGCACATTTTGCACAGAGCAGGCCTGTTGGCAGTCCAGCAAATGAAGTGGGCTTCAGAAAACAGGTGAGTTCAGTAGTTTCTGAGTGGGCTTTCCAGAACATTTTTCAGCTTGGGATGTAGAGAGCTCTTCTGAACACCCGATATCAATCCCCAGCTGAGCTTCAGACACAGCTACAAAAGAAAGCCGTAAGCAGGAGAAATCACTGTCCAGTGACGCCAATACTCAGCCTCTCCTGAGTAAAATTGCTGCTGTTAAACACACAAAAGCTGTAAGATTTGTTGGAGAAATTGCAACTCATTCTCTGCATACTTTAAACTGCTGCATTTAATTTCCTAGCACTGTAGTTAAGAATTCAACCATAGTCAGAATCCAGTAAAGGGCTATGTGCTACCATTTGGCAGGAGGTACCAGCTATGGGAAGCCTCTGTGCCCTTTTCTCAGCTTTAAATAACCATACTGCTAAAGGGCAGAGCCTGGGAGAGGGCAGTTCTCAGCTTCAGCACCAAAGCCCTCCTCCCTCCCCACTGGCCAAGACCCCCCTCTGCCCGGGGTATTCTTAGGGAAGAGATCTCTGCTCTCAAAGGATCAGTTTTTCTCTCCAGTACATCTATGGGAAGCACTCAGCATTCGAGATGCTAAGTCTGAACCTGCAGTAATTTCTTTCCTGCTCCCTCACTGCCCTCCCCAGCTCAGGAGGGAGCAGGGTGACATGGGCACACAGCCCACCCTGCCTGCCAGCTCCCCCCACAGACAGTGTCAGAAGTGTTGAGCAAGAACTGACCTGTACTGCTGCTGCTGCTTTGGTCTGTTTGGTTTGATGGCGGTGGACAAAAAAAAGGCTCATTTCTTCTGACTTCCAAACAGCAGTAGGTGCTTAAACAGTAAAAAAAGTACCCCCAGCTGCTGCTTCTGCTTCTCGCATGAAAACTGTTGGATACATATTTACTGTCCTGATTAAACAGATTTGCTGCTCTACAGTAAACCAGGGAATTGAAGCACTGTATCTGCAATTTTGTTACCAAATTACAATTCATAAATATTTGAGAAAATAAGGACATTTACATATACCATTAGTGAGACAGAGCAGTTGCTGCATGGCTGCCACTTGCTATCAAAACCCAGAGTATCATGGTGTAAGCAATGCTCACTTCACAGCAGTATCCCAAAATGACAGCACACTCACTCCACTTCTTCTGTCAAGATATATTTTTATTAAGGGTCAGTATAAACTTCAGAAGGAACCTTGAATCATTTTTGTCACTATCTACCCAAAATAGGAACTGAATTGAACGCAGCTGAATTTTTAAATAGTCAGCTTCCAGGCACAATGCAAATACCTGCCATTTATAAGGCCATCAAGTAATTTAAATTCATGAGAGCAGCTATAAACATGTATTGATGTTCTCAGTGGAGAAATGCAGCTCTGCATTACAGGGCTAGATCCCAGAAAATAATATATACAATATTTTGGCTCTTTCTTTCATGCCAACAGTTCATTGTAAATGTAGATGTATGAAAAATATTTAGCATCTAAAAGTTCTCTATACTTAACCTTTTGGCTAGAAAAGTAAACTTTTCAATAATTACTGCAGCACTGTTTATTTCAAACTTGATACTAACTTTCCCAATCAGCATTATCAAGCACATTCGTAAGTGCACATTTTCTAACACAATGATAAATGGACTACCCACATAGTTATTTGAGAATGAGCTGTATTAGACAACAAAATGTTAAAGAATCTGCTGGACAATGGAGGTAGGAGTGAAAGATTCTAGGTTATGCTACGTTTTCTGGTCTCTCTCTGTCATGACAGATTTGGTTCTACTTTCATCTGATGAAAGAGATTTTCAGTTATTTTTTCACTCCTTAAACATTACCTACGCTGTAGTAACAATCTAAATAATGCACATTACAAATCAGCATTTTAGTGTCTTCAGACGTAGTGAAAACTCTACATGGCTGAGCCAGAAATACCTATTAATGCAAACATAATTTGGAGTATGATTTCTCATGCAAAAATAAGAATCTGTAGCTCTTACAGAAAAATCAACAAGATTCTTTCACTATACAAGACATTTTGGACTATGAGAACACCACACACAATCACACTGTACTTTCCTTTTGGAAAGGAGAGTTTCCACAAAGTGCAAAATGAGGCACACTGTTCCAGTCAGTAAGTCTGTTACGCTGAATTGGTTAGCTGTCCCATTCTCCATTATTCTGATCATTGTCCTCCTCTTCTTCAGAATCAGCAGACACTTTCTTAATTCTCTGGATGACTGCCTTAATGCTTCTCTCCAGCTCATTAGTGGATCCTTTACTGACATCTTTCTCAGCATCTCGATTCACTTTCCTCAGCTGAACTCCTTGCCTTATGGCAGAGAGGATGTTGTCTTTCACAGAGGCATACGGATTCGGCTGCTCCACTTTGCGAAGGTGAACCTCGCTGCGTTTTAGAGAAGCCAAGACTTCATCCATGGAACCTGCAACAGACAAATCTATTACCAGAAGAACAAGACAACCACACTTAGAGGTGTAAAGCCCTACCCAAGTGTTCAGGGCTCTTCCTTTGATTTTTTGCTAGCAATAGGAAGAAGAATGGTCTGTTCTGGCACAGACTCTTTCAAGCTTCTGCAACAGCAGGCTCTGGCACTGCTTTTAAAAAGCAGTTAAAGCTTTTATATCTTGAGTTGAGAATCCAATGCTTCTTATACAAGGAAGAAATGTTACACAAAGGATGATGCTTCTTTTCCATTACAACTTTATGGGCTTTCAAAAAAATTTCACTGAACCAAAAACTCTCTTGCATTCCATGTTATAAACAATCTACCATCCCTCCTCACCTGCTCAGAAGCCTGCTGAGACCGTCAATTGCATTTTTGCTCAGCCAAGAGAAAAATAAAAGGATTTGAGTAAAAGGGCTTGAAACTGCACCACTGAAGTCAGTGGGAGCCAGATCAAGCCCTACACAGGCAGCTCTTTTCCATATGGACGTAAAAACCAACTCCCATTTTACAAACATGATTTAAATCTCAGGTGTATGTTTCTGACCATTAAGAACACCATACTGAAGGAGCTGCCACTAGTCCTCCTGATACATACTAATTTGTGTTGCCCTCCTTCTGTTGGATTCTTTGCTGCTTGCCTCAGACTGTCAGACAAGGGAAGCTGTTTCCCTGGACAGCAGTTGACTCCTACAGCAATAGGTCCAGACCATCTGTGCCTCGCAGCTAGAAGCATTTTTGCCATGCGCAGTGCACCCAAGGTTATGTGATTAACACCAAGCACATTCTGCTAAATCCTGTGGTACCTTCAGAGACTGAAAAGGATCAAGCAAAGATCCACCAGGTCATTTTACAAAGCCTTCGAGTAAGAAAGTCTTAAGTCTATTAATGAAATGGGCAGCCTGATAAAACACTAGTCAGACTAACAAATTATATAAGAAGCTTCTCCTGGTTTTTCACATGCAAAGACATGAATAACTAAACCCAACATGTTTATGAAGGCATTTCAGTAAGTTCCTGTGGCAGTAATTTAGCAGTTACTATTGCAGCTAATAGCATGGTGGTTTTCTTCAAGAAATAGGTGTAAGCGACCAATCAGATCTCTCCAGTAAACAAAAATTAATTTTTCATATCCAAAAATAATGAAAAGACATCAATGTTAGGCTGTGAATGGCAGTATATATCAGCTACCAGCAAGGCTGTTCCAGTAGCAGACTACTCTGGTATACAACTCCTGTTGCTAATCAAAGCTTCTGTGGTAATCAGCCCATGGCTGTCCCAGACTGAAGTTTGTGTTGGATGCACAGTAGTTTGTCATGGTAACTCAACTGCATCTCAGCCCTTCAGCTGCTTGTACCTCCCCACAGCCTGGAAGAACTGAAAATGCTGAACTTTCCTTGGTATTTCTGCCTCTTATCTGAGATACAAAGGCTGCTGAGGTGTACTGTGAAGAGTCAGAAAGGAAAAGGAATGTACCACCTTTAACGACATTCCTCATTCTACCATAAGCTCCACTGTGGAAAACGACAAAAAAACCTGCTGCCTTCCAACTTAGATCAATCTCCCTGACATAGTCAAAATATCCCCTTGCTTAAGAGATACAAATAAGCCTGTTAGCAGGATGCAACCAGTGCAGCCTTGGGAGGCTGCTGAGCTCTATTCTCATTCAAACTGCTGTTTCAATTGCCAAGTTCAGCCTTCAATTACACCTGCATGATCTTGCTAACAAAGCAAAGATATACCAGAGTGGAATTTCTGCCCTAGGAATGCATGCCAAAGCTATTCACCTGCCTTTGAAATCCTGGTTGAATTCTGCATGAATTCTCTTAGGAAATCTTTATTTAGAAACCAAGCAAATTTTAAGTGGACACAAGCTGTGCACACCTCAGAAATTCAAGCAGCCCAGCTGCTAGCTCTGCAGTACATAAATCACAAACACTAAAGTGCAGCCTTAGTACAACTACAAATTTACCCACAGTGGTCTTCTGACTGGACAGGTGATTAATCCTCAATCAAAATACCACATTCAGTTCAACAGCAGAAAACTGTGGCAAGAATAAACCTGGTAATAAAAGTTGCTTTGCACCAAACAACATGAATAAACCTCCTTTCCTTGGAATTTCTTCTGACACATTCCTACAGCAGTGGGATTTTCAGTGTCATGAGAAATCCAGGTCCTGAATTAAGACCTCCACAGAACTAGCAGTGCTGTGATTAAGCATGGTTTAAACTAATTTCTAAGGCTGTACATAATAAATGCAGGATTCCAGTTCAAATTCCTTAAAGACTGACCTGTCCCATTTGACAGCACTTCCCAAAAAATGCCAAGGCACACACTCTGAGCATCAGGGTCCTGTGAACTGCACCAAATGGGACAACAACAAATCATTGCTACTCATTTAACACCCTGAGTTACGTGGTTTCTTAGACTAAGCTTTCGAAGACCTTCATTCTCTTGATCATAACTACACACTATTCCTGTCCAGAACCAGAGGGAAGGAGAACACAAAAATATAGAAAACAAAGAAGAAAGCACCAGTTGATGTGAGTCTACTTACCTATGTAATTTATAGACCTCCTGGATGAGTCATCCTGTTTGTGCAGTGCAGAGCTCTCTGAGGGGCTATCAGAGCTGAGGGGAAGTGGTTTATCCTCTCTTGCTGATGGTGTCTTTAACTGCTGAGGTAAGGGGG